ACACGTCTTGGGCTGTCAAGAGACTTTCAGCATCCTCCTGATTAAGTTAATTTAGGTGAAGGTACACAGTGCAAGGACAACCAAGTACGTATGTTTGAGAAATTGCTTTCTGCGACTTGCTTTTCTGGTAACACCACAGAGGAGAGTAGGTCATCTACTAGCTGGTTCAGCGTAGTCAATTTAACAGATGGATTCTCAGGTGAAGAGGAACATCGTCTAGAATGGCCACTGGTTGTTGGGCCTTGATATTAGCAACAAAACCCGTCTTGGTTGCTGCTACCTTAAACCCATCGTGTATCCCCTATCTCTAAGTCGCTCTTTTTACCTCAAGTTGTGCTGCTCTTCGGTCGGCCTCCTCTGTATATTGTGCTCTCACTTTCCTAAATTTTATTGAACCTATACTAGCATATACGTCTGTAGGCTCCTCAAACTAACGATTTTTTGTTTACTTATGATGAACATTGGTTTTATTTCCAACCCTCTTGTGTCTCAGTTAGTCAAGGTAAGGTAGTGTACCCAAAGAGTATACTAGTGCCATTCTACACTTAATGTGAGGGTCCAAAGTGTTCAGATATTGAAAGAATTCGCTGAGCAGATCCCGTTCCATTACATCTGCGTAACGCCAGAAAACCTTCGATGAAATCTTGAATCCATTTAAAGCTTTCTGCTCAAAGTGTACCACGTACATGTTGGCCAAAACCGGTGATATTGTTGATCCCATCACTAAACCCTGTTTGATTGATTTTCGAGGAGCTGAATTCGTCACAGCGCCCAGGTGTTGGAAAAGAGTCACTGATAAGGAACACAACGAACAAGGGGCATTGCGCACTCCTGAATTGAATTGAATCCAGGCTTTCGGATCAGCGTTGGTTGGACACTCACCATCGTATGTTTTGGCTTGACTGGTTGACCGTCTCAGCGTGCAATCTGGTGATCTAAGTAGGTTGCGGGCATTCGAGAATAAGTTTCAGAAATCCGGTCATCGCTACACCGGATTTCTTGAGTGCTCATTCCATCTGAAAGTAAGTGAGTAAAGTAGGTCAGTCATATTGAAAACAGAGAGTCTGCATTTTCTAGAGTTATTAAGCATACGCGCAGGATATTTGTCGCAGTCGTCGATCTGGAATTACCATTCCGCTGTAAGAATGTAGGAAACCAGCAGCAGTCCATGGGGCCGGGGGAAGAGTCAGTGGATTCCTCGGGGTTGTTAACAAGTTCAAGTTTTGCACGAATCCATGAAAACCAAATTGTTTTTGAAAAAACATCTATTCGATTCACTTCCAGACGCCCACAAACAAAACAGGCTACCATGTTCAGGTGGTCCTTCCAAAATTTAAAGTGTGTTTTCATCGATACAAATACCACTGTTATATACATGGTTTGTAAGGGTTGATCATCCATTCCTGATCAAAATAATATAGAAGAAAATCTTGCTACGCATACCCCCAATTTGGAAAATTAAGAACAGAGTTCATAGAAACTGATGAACTTACAAAGCAGACTTCTACTGGTTTTAAAGAGCCAACCCAATGAGTTTCATGAACTTGTACTTTTACGTAAACTAAAACCATAGGGAATAGTAAATTCCTCGGTGTAAAGCTTTGCGTGACCTTCAGTGTTCCTCACTTAGATCAACCAGAAATGTCTGGAAATCGACCATTTACGCAGTGAATAAACGCTAAGCTTTCGAGGAGTTTCCATGCTGAGTCCGATCAGTTTGTCAAGCCTTATCTTGACGCACCGCGGAAACCAATTTCCTGAATACACATTTACACTATGACCTATTAATACTAGAAACCGTATTGATGTCGCCCTCGGACAAAAATTTTCGGAAGCCAGCCGCCACGTGAAACCAATTTGCAGACTCAGTTTACTGCTCACTACTGTCTGAAGAACACAGGTGCTCAACGAAATGATCCACATTTGTCCTAGAAAATAACCAACGTGAACTCATTGTTGGAATAAGTTTGTGCAAATGACCAGTCATTGAACAAGCCGATCAAAATGGTTGATCATACCCTGGTTAGCATGAACTTTGTACCGCAGACGTATTAGATTTTTGGTGGATAGCTTTATCACACCATCGTCATACATTTGTAAGGCAAAGTTCGACGCATAGGAGACGCACAGTATAAAATTCCAGGCACATGGTGTTTTAAGTAAGGCAGGATACGATGCGTCATTTTTCGCTTATTCTCGCGCTCCTGTTCTGCATCGACAACGTTGGATGGTTGGAAGCCGCCGGTGTCCACAGTTGGTCATCCATATTTAACAACAAGCCGTCAAAGAACTGGGTTGTCCTGGCCGCTGGTTCCAACACATGGCAAAATTATCGACATCAAGTAGGTTTCCTTTTTTATTGGTTTGAGGCTCAAAAGTTCACCTAAATCCCGCAAGAAAGGGTTTTTAAATTGCAAATTTGCAATAATTGTCCTCCAAACACTTGTGTCCCACCTCGTTTTCTCCATGACTGTGACATTTCTCTCTAAAGGGCGGTGGATAGATGCCACCAATAATGGACACATTAGTGAACGCACATTTCGTGGCCTGTATTGGTTTTCGTCATTATCTCCCTGTCGTAAGTCGGTATTAGGTTTTCGGTAGGGTCGATTCTCCGGTTCTAATAATCTCAGATATTACGTTAATCGGAATCCTACATCGTCACACATAAATGTTTTATGGTGCGCCATGTAAGGTGAAATGACGGCCTGTGAGTTGAAGGTATGGTGTGAGCGAATAAATCTATAGTACTTGGTGCAATCAAGTATTTGGAATAAACATATACGAATCTATCTTGCTAAAATTCGTTCATCCGCTCGTCTATCACTTGCATCGGGTTACACGACAATCGCATTGAAAACGTTACGCAAAATCAGTGCGTGTGTGTCCATTCTTAGGTTTCAGTGGCTAATTATACTGAGGTTCTCCACAATGTGACTTTTTATCTAGTACATATGCGAACAGGTTCGGACGTATTTTCTAAGCCAAGTGATGCCAAAATTGTACAGCTTCGGTGAGAATGTCGTTGTTCGGACACTTGACTGAAAGTAGAACTGTGGTTTACACAAGCCCTTCCAGAGTAGAATCATGCTTCCTGTTCTTAGGATGATGCACCCGAATACTGTTTGGATAACGGATACTCCACCACGTGTGGATTATCCTACACATTCTGATTCTCTTTTTTGTTCTGCATGCCTCAATCTGCCTGTTATCCTTAATTCACATGTCGTTTATTTTCTCATTCAGGCGGACGTTTACCACGCGTATCAAGTCGTGCGCAAACATAAAGTTCCAGCGAAGAATATAATTACCTTCGCCTTTGACGATATTACAAATAATCCCAAGTAAATATCGCGTAAAATTTTCGCTATATGCTAATGAATAGAGTATAGAAAACGCACTTCGTTTTTTGGCGTCAACATGTCTCATTGGTGTTCCGTAATTCTCATGTATGTAATTGTAGAATTTGAGTTGCAGACAAATATGGGGATTCATGTGTCACTTCAGATGTCTTATTAGATTTCCGTTTGGTTGATGATTTTTCTTGGGTGTAGACACCATAGAACCCTGATGGAAGCGGCACATTCTGATGATGGTGATGATGGGGAGGAAGATGATACGGATATGTACTCTTTTGAGTACTCTTTTCCGTAGCTTGAAATATAACACGTTGATATATGGATGTCGTTTGAATGCATCAGCCGGCTGATGCCGGCAGACAATCTAGTAGGCTAAACAATTTGCAATGCAGCCGGAGAGGAGAAGAGAGCTTCCTAAAGCATTATAATTTGGTTCGTGCGTGCAGACTACAACACCCGTAAGTCGTTTATTGCCTAAACTTTATTTCGGCTGTAGCATCTTTAAGGTGCCTAGCCACCATGATACGCGAAGGATGCACGAGGTCTGGAATAGTGCCAGGTTTCCCAAGCCTGGACGGATGTGGTCGAGAGGCACAAGACTCGCTGCTACTTTACATTCTTTTATTCCAGAAACCCGTTTAAAGGCAAAGTGTTCCATGACTACGAGCACGAGGATGTCTACAAGGGTGTGGTGATCGATTACCGTGGAAAAGTAAGTCCGTGTTCCGGTGCGCAGAAATCAAGTGAATTCTTGCATCACTTTACCGTGTAACTCAAGGCGCAATTAAAAGGATACTGTTGATCAAAACACAATAATCAGTTTCACTATATTAGAGAATGGCAATCCATTTGGACGAACACTAGTCATAAGTTCATAGAGAATTCTCAGGCAGCCAATGACCGAGTTAAACCTTCTGCTTTTGGCTTATCAATTAGGTAAGCGTTCTTGTCACAAGAACCACGAGATGTGCACGAGGACCAATAGTGCCGGAATAGCTTCTCCGGAGAAATGTCCTGTGATATCCAGAATGACGCACCAACAAACTAATCAGGGTGTCCAGGACAGTACATTCAGCTAAAAAATATCATAGATAAGAGATGCTCAAATGTGAGTCAGTTGAGTGCTGATGAGTGATAATCACTTCAAAATAGCCGTTATTTCTTACGTATGTTGCATCCTTTATCTACTGAGTTAGATGAGGGCTACTTGGTACTGCTTCCAGGTAGTCCATGTTCAACTAAACCACCAACCTAGGCTTGGGCAAACACACCAACAATCGAATTCTTTAGTTTTAATCATACAGCGACAATTGTGAAAATAACATGGGTGAACATGAAGAGCAGATCCTAAATTTCAATTATCTATTAGGCTGAAAGTGGATGGTTACTTGGAATAGAATGAGTGTTGACAACATTATAGTAGCGGGAATAATTGGTAATGCGTGTTCATCTGTTTTAGGATGTCAGACGGGATAAATCCGTGAAAGTATTGAAAGGCGATGAGAAAATTGCAGCCAATGGGAAGAAGTTGCCGGAAAGGTGAGTTTGCGCGGAAGGGGGTATTGATGATGCTGGATATTGTTGATGCACTTGCTGATCACAGCCGGAATAACAAGCTTCACTCCAGGGGAAACTCGGTTTATCCATTTCTGACTTTTGGTTATTATAAAATCATAGGCATCAACCACCGCTGTTAACAAGTTTCGGAAATATTCAGATATGCGCAGTTGTGAGTGGTCAAATGTCTGCTTGGTCGTGTAAAACGTTGAGTCGGTCGATATTGGTTTTCTCGGATTCAGTTTTAACTCACGCCATTGATCAACGCAAATAAATAATGTTGATTGAATAAGCTAAATCCACGTCCACTGGCTGCTTTCTCGATTCATGAATGTCCCCAAAATCTGTATCGCAATTCGCCGAAAATCACCTCAAATTTCAGAATACCTGTTTCAATTTTGGTCCTGTATGGTTTAGTAACTACAAAGTGGTTCTTTCGAAATTCCTCTCACGCCTTCTTGACCCGCACATGACGAGATGGGACGCGCGACATACAGAGACAAGCCAGAAAACAAGGCAAATGCTTATTCGCTCGAAAAATATACATCTCTCAACCGGTCACTGATATACTTTGTGCGTATTTTCTGATTAACCGTTGATTTGCACAGGGCCTGCGGTGGTTGTTCGCGTACATATTCCCAGCTCTCGTGAACCGATCATTTTCGTTCGCAGTTGGAAAGAATCCCACCTGATATAAAAGTTATTTCAAACAATGATTGTTGGGCCTTCTTCAAGTGGTGCGTGTTAGTGGTGGTCTGCTCTCGTTCGGCTTTGCTTCCGGGAGTTTAGTGTCTCGTGTTCTGTTAGGTTGCCATTCCTAAGCTGTATATATAGGCTTTGTTCTGAGGTTTCGCCAGACTTTACAATAGCTTGGATTGGGGCGTTCCCGCATTCACCCTTCCAAAGCACTCAGTTTGACAAACACTCATTTCTGAACTCACTCGCCAAGTGGTAATAGATCTGCAGCACATTATCTGCTGTCGCCTAGAGTATGAATTTTCCTCTGCCTGTCACGGATATTATATTCTGTGGCACCAGGCTAGTTTTCTGCGAAACTACATTTTCAGNCTTCAATCATTCACAGATTTCGTTTACCTGTGTTCACCAAAGTTTGCGGGACCATTGGTTTGGGGATAAGGCGAGGTGGTGGTAAACTGGATCTAACTTTGGTTTGATTTTTACATTTAGACACGGACCGTTTTGCTGATACACACACACATCGTGTGTACACACGATGTGCATCGTGCACACAGCGTGGTGTCATCTAGGCTGATCGGAGACAGCACTCCACACGTTTGCAAGTTCTACCCACGCCATTCTATTCACACTGGGATTCCCTTGGGGATGTCCACCGCCTCGATCTCTAGTCGCTGTGGTGTGAATCCAAAACCCCGTCTCAGTATGACCACATTTCCTAATCTTTCCTAGCCCAGTATCTATTGCATATTCTGCCATTGCCGGATCTTTGACTATCGCCTAGTATTCATCCTTTTTTCTCGGTTGTCCTATAATGGAACGCTTATACTCTGATGTGCAATCCCCTGGCTGTCGAGAAACCTATATTAACCTTCGTGCAGTTGTTACATTCTCTTTTGTGTGAACAGTTCATAGTCCTAACAACCGGAAGCCGATCCTTCGAATGCAACAACACTGAATGTAACGTTTTTCCCTTCTGGAATGCTACTTTGATGTTNCTGCAACCCGAATTACGGTCCGTTCATTCAACGACAACTCGCAGATCTTTGACATGATGGGACATAAAGTGAATCACGAGAGGTTTGTTCACTGCCAGACGAGCTACCAAACATCAAAGATTGTGCTATCCTCAATACCTAGCGACCCCTACGACAAGTTCCTGGATGCGCAGCATACTGCAGTATACTAGAGTTTGCAAGGATTTCAACACGATTTCTGCGCCACTGTAGAACTTGCCCGGGCAAGATCGGATGGTAGAAGCACCTGAGGCTGTTGAGCGTGGCAAAGCGCGGATCCTGGATCTGCAACTGACCCACAAACTGCCCAGCGTCTAACAGATGTTCATGGTTGCAGCGGACGCTAGTGATCAACGTATCGGCGCAGCCCTAAAGCAGAGGAATTGAGTTGCCGAATGTGCCAGTGGTTTACTAACCAGCGCGGAGCAGAAGTACTTGACGATTGAGAAAGTAAGTGAAGCAACTGTCCCGGTCATTGATAAGATGAGGGAACACACGTTTGGGCAAACATTTCATATCGAGACTGATCACAAACCCCTAGGATGGCTACGGTATGTTGCCGTCGCCTCGTTAGATTGAAATGGGCATTACGAACTGAGAAGTAACCAAACAAGTAAAAACGTTCCAGAGTCAATCCGACCGGTTGGGTATGAGTGAATCTGGCATAATTCGACTGGAATCCACCGAATATGATGTTGTGCTGCCCATCTTGAGACGCAGGCTAATGACCAAGTGCCACGAGATGGGACATGCATAAAAAGACAAGGCTTACATCGGCAGACAGCCTTGCTTTGAGAACGGACAACTCAAGAGTTGACGACTATTCGTTCATTTGTAAACTAATTTGGTTTTTCGAGAGATACACTTGGAACCTTGCTGAATCTCCCGTTTGTGGTATTTCCAAGCAACTGAATTTCCTGCACCAGGCCGCCGCATGGTTCGGTCGCTACCATATTCGAGATATCGCGGTACATGTATATTTGCTCATATGGTTGCTGAAAATTCGTCGACAGTCTTCGACCGACTTCGGCTTCTTAGGGCTCACCAAGTAGGGCAGTCGCTGATCAAGATTTTGCAGGCGGCCGAACCAGCAGACCGGTACCAATGGTGTTGCTAGCTCATGTTGCTCCCACACAGCCTACCAAAGGCACGTCCCTTCTCACGGTGATGCACGGTCTGCAGCGCTGTCATATGGTTGATTAGAAAATGGGGCAATAGCGTGTAGTAACCACTGTTCTTACAATTTCCTGATAATCAGTGTATATCCAGAGAAGTTTGAGAAGTCGCTTTCAAGGTGCATGGAAGAGTTTCAGTTTCCTATCCTAGTGTTTGCAGTTCGGTTTTTCTGATAAACACCTCCGAGGCGCACGGCTGCCCTACATTCACTTGTACATAGACTACAGGCTGGCTATTACAGATATTCCGTATAAATGCCGCTGTAGACCAACGAGTATCATGCCACTTGCGAAGCGTTCCAGAGTCACTATGATCGGGTGAGACTGAATGAAGCTGCCAGAATTTCCTGGAACGCCACTGATTCACATGTTTTGCTGCCCGTGATACCTCGCGTCTGGAGACGGAATATCACCGTTGAATGCCATGAGTTGGCACACACAGGGTGCACCACGATATGCGACCTACTTCGGCACGGGGCCTAGTGGCCCCGGATGAGAAGTGAGGTGATGGATTATGTGCTGTCCTTTAAGCGCGGTCAACTAACGAAGGTGGATACGACAGGGGCAATCCATCCAATGGAACACATTCCTATCTCAGAAGTCGGCGAGTATTGGTCAGTTGACATCATGTGCCCCTTTCCGTTGAGAACCACTGAGAACCAGAACATCGTGAGGATGACAGAACACCTGTCGCGATGGATTGTGGCGACAGCCGCGCCGAATCAGTGGGCGACGATGATTAGCGTAATGGTAATGCATCACATCTTGGCCAGCCATAGGGTGCCAAAAGTGATGCTAGCCGATCAGGGGATTTGCGTCGAGAGCGAGGAGTTTAGGAATTGCTTCCGGAAGCTGGGTATCAGACGGCCATGGAATTCACCATATCACCCGCAAACAAATGGTATGACCGGACGCAATAACCGAACGATCAAGGAGTGGCTTGCGGCCAAAGGAGGCGACTGAAAAATGAACTTGTCAGTGATGTTGTTAGCTCATCGTGTTCCCATGCAGTCAACTACAGGCAAGCCCCGTTTTGTTAATGTATGGTCGACATCCGCGCCTTCAGGTTGATCAGGAAATTTGGTTGTGGCCGGCAAAACGCTTGTCTCCCGAGGAGCTAGAGGAAGAAAGAAAGAGAGCACGAGAAATTTTGAGCGCCGTTCAGGAAAGGGCTAGGCAGAAAACGGAAATAGTTTCCCATATTCACAAGGGTCAAGTTGAAGGATCACTTGTATCCTGGAAGTAGTAGACTGGGGTCGCGGAAGCTGGGCAGTCGATCACAAGGGCCGTTTTTGGTCACCGACCTCCGGGGGAACGTCTATGTCATT